ACTATGTTTAAGGTTAATTTCTGTCATTAAAAATGTTCATTGATATTACAATCTATTTAGGCTTATTTATTTTCTTCAATGGTTATGGGTTATGGGCCCAGGAATGTTTCAACTGTGCCTAAGTAGCAAAATAGCTTCATTTTAAAATGAACATTTTGAAGTTTTCGAAGCATTGAACTCTTAAGCCTAATTCCGTGCAAGAACTGTTACGTCTAATCAACGATAAGAACTGATCAGCGTTCAGTTAAGCCTATTTTTATAGCGCTCCAATCTTGTTTTTTTGGCTGTGAGAAACAGTATTACATTATGTTGCATTTGACTACTATAGAAAAGCTCGGAAAAGATAATTTTGACCAGTTGGAAATTACAAATAGAAGCAGTATTGATTAAAAACGACCACTGGGATTATGTAACCGGTAAAGTGCTAAAACCTGCTGAAGGAACCGAAGACGAAAAGAAATGGCTCCAAGCTGATCAAAAAGCTCTCGCGCAGATATATTCTTTTTCTTGCAATTAATCCTAGTGAACTTGTGTCATATAAAGCATTGTGTGACATCAAATGCTGTGTGGAATAAACTGAAAGCCGTATATGAATCGAAAGGACCTGCAAAGAAGGCTACCTTGTTAAAATAGCTTTTGTTTAGAAAAATGGTGGAAAGCGAAACGATGTCTGAACATTTGAAACAACTTTCTTTGAAATAGTTGATAAGCTTAAACAAATGGAAATTGACATAGCTGATGATTTATTATCGATTCTTCTGCTCTACAGTATTCCAGAAAATTTTTGAAAATTTTAGATGCGCCATCGAATCAAGAGATTAGTTACCTAGTCCCGAATCTTTGAAAATCAAAATGCCAGAAAAATGGGAAGCAAGAAAAGGGGAAACGTCTCAAGATTCATAGAATGCATACTTATACTTGAAAATAAAAGAAGAAATCAAGAACAGAAGAAAAATGAAAAATGGAAGGTAAATTCAAACAAAATTTTCCAGCTGAAAGAAATTTTCGAAATTTGAAGTGTAATTACTGCTCGAAAATTGGGCACAAGGCATCTGAATGCAGAAAGAAAACAGCTGATAGAAAATATGCGCAATCAAATAAGGGAAATCAAGGTTCTCTGATGGCTTCTAATTATGAAGAGCAGATTAGTTTAGCAGTAAACAATGCTTATCAGAAGACCTCCTCATGGTGCTTAGATAGTGGCTGTACATCTCACATGTGCAATGACAGAAGGTTATTTTCAGAATTTCACCCTCGAACGAATTCAACCATAAAGTTAGCAGTTGACAAAACAGCAAAAATTACAGGAATTGGAACTGTCCTTGTAACAGTACCTAACGGAAATAAGACAATTAAACTTGCGCTCAAAAATGTGTTATGTGTTCCGGAATTAAAATGTAATTTGCTGTCACATCTAAAGCTAACCGCAAATAATCGTTCAGTGATTTTTACAGAACGACATGCTAGAATATAGAACCAAATGGATCTATACTAGTGCAGGCTATTCGTCATGGTGATCTTTATTATATACATCCAAGCACTGAAACAGCTGCAATAGCACAGGTAAGTGATTTTGTAAAGTGGCATCTTAAATTAGGTCATTTAAATGAGTCTGATTTGAAAAGACTTAAGTCTGATAACATGGTTAGAAATTTAAATTTTAATAACACTGAATCTCTAAAAGACTGCAAAGTCTGTATCAAGGTAAACAAAAACTGTGCAACCTTTTCAAAAAGAATCAAATTTCAAAGTGATGAATTACTGTAACTTGATTCACTCACAGATTTGTGAGGACCTATGAGAGTCCCATCCCATGCTGGTTCGCGTTATTTTGTTACCTTTCATAGACGAACAAATCGTGTTATGTCGAAGTCAATTTTCATAAAACTAAAGACGAGTGAAAAATGCTTTCATTAAATACAAAGCTGCAGGTCGAAAATCGTCTAGGAAAGAAAATAAAAATCCTTCAGGACTGATAACGGTCTCGAATATTGTGGAGAAGAATTTAATAAATATATTCAAGAATGTGGGATTAAACGAGAATTCTCTGCCACCTACGACTCCGTCAACAGAATTCGAGAGCTGAACACATGAACCGCACTTTAACCGAAATGGCCAGATGTTTGTTACTACATGAAGTAATCTTCTCCCCAATTCCTTTTGGGCTGAAGCCTTGAATTGTGCTGTTTATATTCGTATAACCGTTGCCCAAATCGAAGCCTGGGAATAAGCAAAACACAATATGAGTTATTTTTTTGGCATCAAGCCAACTGTATCTACTCACTTCAAAGTATTTGGAGAGAAATGTTTTGTACTTAATAAAAGGTCTAAAGGGAAATTCGATCCTCGATCAGAAGAACATATATTTTGTAGGATACTCAAATGAATCGAAAGCATACAGGTTGTGGAATAAAAATTCCAGAAAAATCGTTATAAGCCGAGATGTTAGATTCATTGATGAATTTGAAAACTTGTACTAATTATCATAAAGATTTAGAAGGTTTTATTTCTTGAAAATATTCCTGATAAAAAGAAGGAAAAACTCTTTGAATGTAAAGCAAATATCGGCTGATGAAATATCAGAAGACCCCTCAAATATGGCAGAAGCATCTGCTGAATATCTGATAATGAAGATTCTGATTCCGAAGCACTACCTGAAATGCAGATTAAAAGGGGGCGAGCCAGTTCGTCCAAAGAAAATCAAGACTGGGAAGCCAGGGAAGACCAAAAAAGGAGTACCACAATATATAAACCTAGAAAAGGAGGAAGCACAAATTGCTGAAGAATAGATACACAAATCCAGCATTAGAAGAAGCATTAAATGGAAGTTATACTGAAGAATGGCATAAGGCTAAGCAAAGTGAAGTAACGAAGCACTTGTTAAAAATGATGCATGGAAAATTAGTAAAGCGACCACACAAACATTAAAAGGTATAATAGGATGTCGCTGGGTTCTTAGAACGAAATATAATGCAGATGGAACAGTTCAAAAAGAGAAAAGCTCGATTGGTTGCTAGAGGATTTGCACAGGAAACCTGGAAATTGATTTCACTCAAACCTTTTGCTCCAGTAGCCAGAAGCAAGTTCTATAAGAACTGTGATTGCATACAGTGCTGAATGAAGACCTTTATGTTATATCAACTAGATTTTGTTATGGCTTATGTTAACGGAGAATTTAAAGGAAGAAATTTTCATGGAACAAGGTAAAAGTTTTGAAGAACCAAAATAATCCTGATTATGTTTATGCTTTGCAAAACTCTTCTTTATGGTTTGAGACAAAGTGGACGACAATGGTATGAAAAATTAGACAAAAAACTCAAAAACTTCTGGATTACAACCATTACGATCAGATAAATGTGTATTACAGGAATGAAAACATCTCAAGGTGAGTTAGTTCTAATTTTATATGTTGATGACTTGAATAATAGACAACAAATAGCTGTGAATTTTTATGCTGAACTTAAAGATTATCTTTCTAAAGAATCTATCATGTTGAAGATTTAGGGTAAACTTCATTATTGTCTTGGAATAGAATTTAATTCAAGATGTAAATAATAATTCTTATCAATTTATCTCAGCAGAAATATGTTGATAACATTCTTAGAAAGAAGGTTTAATATGCAAGATGCAAAACCAGTAGCAACTCCTTTAGATCCTACTGTAAAATTAAGTAAAGAAATGTGTCCTTCTGAAACTGAAAAGGAAGAATGAACAATGCACCTTGTTCGCCGTCTAATTGGTTCGCTTATGTATTTTCTTTCTGTGTTTACTAGGAGGCCGGATATTACATATGCCATCAGTCACCTGAGCCAATTTAATAACAATCCTGGAAAATTACACTGGTTGGCTGCAAAGCGCATTCTTCGATACTTAAAAGAACTAAAATTATTGTTTAAAATTTCGAAAGACTGGAAAAGCACTTATTGGATATACCGATGCCGACTGGGCGTCTGATGTTAATACTAGAAATCGTATACAGGTTACCTATTCAAGTTTAGCTGGAAATCCGATAACATGGGAATCACGAAAGCAACAAACTGTTTGCATTATCAAGTACTGAAGCAGAGTACATCAGTCTTTCAGAAAGTGCCAAAGAAGCAGTTTATTTACGTCATTTTCTTAAAGAATTAAATTTTACTGCTGATTATCCAACCATTATATATTGTGATAATCAAGGTGCACAGAAGCTTATGAAAAATGCTGTTTATCACTCACGCACTAAACACATAGATATTAGACATCATTTCATTCGTGAAATTTATGAAAGAAATGAAATAGACGTTAAATATGTGCCAACAGAGAAAATGCCTGCTGATGTACTGACAAAAACATTGACTGCTTCGAAACATTCTAAGTGCTGTAAATTAATTGGAATAACTATAAATGATTAATGTTTATTTTTTTTTAGCCGCCAAACGTCGAAAGGGGGATTGTTGTATCATAAATTATAATACGACGTTTAGCTTAAGAGAGCTTCTCCTGACGCATGCGCCGTTCGCGTTTATCCGCGCGGTGAATGATGACGTAACTGTTTATTACGTATGTATGTATATGTATATCATTCTTACTTCTTCGCCTTTTTTCTCTGCTGTACGCAACTATGTTTAAGTTAATTTCTGTCATTAAAAATGTTCATTGATATTACAATCTATTTAGGCTTATTTATTTCTTCAAATATTCATTTACTTTGACATTTTACTAAGAAATACATTCAATAAACTGAAATATGAAGAATGTTACTAAATTTTAGATAGTCTAAACTACTGAGGAAAAAATATTGTACTTTCACACATTCACTTGCAATGCACATTTCCTTAGTTTCAATTACATAAGTATTTGTTTTCTCTAATAACTAAAAACTTACAGCAGGAATCATAATTGATTATTATGGTATTAAGGAATACAATAGTTATGATGAAATAAACAAATTAATACACTGTAATTTTCTCTCCTTTGATATTTCAAGAAATGAGAATTCAGAACAAATATTTTGATTTTACCTCTGCCTTTCTTATCAGGGAGTATTTCATTATCAGGCTGCAGGATATTCAATAATGCACCAATCTTTCCATTTTTCTTCATAGCAAGCCATGTACCACCTTCTTTTCCAGGTTCTACATCCATACCTATAATACATCAAGGGAAAAATTCTAAAAAACTTCGTTTCATGCATCATTTGTTTAAAATAAACAAAAGGAAACAGAATCAAAAAGATATAGATAAGGGAACTGAGGAATAATGCAAAAATAAATATAAACATCAAACATATTCAGAAAGGCATTTATATGCATATTCATATTTGTGCGAGTATACACACATACACTGACTACCAATAAGTATTTGGACACCTGTGATAGAAAAAGAAAAACTAACTTTATTCAAAATCAATAGTTGGTAGAGCCTCCACGAGAGGTAATTACAGCATGGACCCTCAGGGGCATACTTTATACAAGTCTTTGTATGACAGCTAGTGGTATTTTCTTCCACTCGGCTTGGAGAAGACAGAGAAGTTCCTTCACCGATTTTGCACGGGTAGTGCACCCCAGAATTTGGTGATGCAACGCGTTCCAGAGGTTCTCGATAGGGTTCAGGTTTGGACTCTGGGCAGACCAGTCCATTCGATGAACTCCATTGGCTCCATACCAAGCCTTGGTTAACGTCGAAACATGACAACTGGCATTGTCGTCCTGAAAGTAAAAAGGGGTCCAACCCGTAAAACTGCCACAACGTAGGAAGCACATTGTCATCCAAAATAGTGCAGTAGGCATCGGAGTTGAGCTTACCATGAATGGGGACCAAGGGTCCTAGCCCATACCAGGAGAAACACCTCCAGACCATAATTCCACCTCCGCCGAACTTGATTGTTGGCACAATGCATTCGGGCAGGAGACGTTCTCCAGCTAGATGCCAGACCCAGATCCTGCCATTTGAACGGTAAAGGGTGAACCTTGATTCGTCACTCCAAAGAACCCGTTTCCACTGATCTACTGTCCAATTTCGATGTGCTTTGCACCACATTAAACGAGCAGCGTGTCGGACTTTGTGATCAAAGGCTTATGGGCAGCAACACGACCATGAAAACCAAGCAGATGTGCTTCTTTACAGATGGTATTCATTGAAAAACAATACTCCCGGATGCCTGTTGAAGCTTCTCGCAGATGGGGGCCATCGGTTAGGTGCGGTTCTTCCGAATTTCTCTGGACAGCACTCGTCGGTCTCTATCTCCCACTTTCGTTGGTCTGCCAACTCGGGGCACATTCCGACAATCACCGCTCCCTTTCCACTTCTTAATCACATAGGCCACTGTCAATTTTGAGCACTTCAGATCGCTAGATATGTCCCTTAAGGATCGGCCGCATTTGTGATACCCGATAATTATACCTTTCTCGAAATCAGAGAGCACCGAACTGCGAGGCATTTCAGTGCTCTCTAAAGCCGATGCTGTTTCCTACACGATATATACCGGCGTAGTCCCTGACGTACCTTAGGACCGCAGATATCGTCATTTTCATAGGTGTCCATATACTTATTGGCAGTCAGTGTATACATGTACACTGCGCAAAAAAAAATGGGACATTTCTATATCTCCCGTTCTACTGGGCCGATTGACAAAATTCAAATTGCGTTTTCCATGACTCGGAAGCGCAACTTAGGATATATATTAGATTTATATATGGCACTATTCTAACATAGGTATTTTGACACAAAATCCGACTTTTTCTGAAATAACATACCAATTTTTTTACATATTTCGGTTCTATGTCTCAAATTATGCCTAAATATTAAATTTTGTAAAACTTGGTGAGAAATTTATGGATAGATTCAAAACTTTATATTGGTGCTTTTTTTCAGTTTGCACCAAGATTAGTTGACTTGGCGAACTTTTTAATATATGGCAACGTATTTTCCTTTTCCTTTTTACATTGTGTGTGAGAGGAAAAATAGTTACAACGTTCTTTCTTTCAAATAATGTTCTTTATGTTGTATTTTTATGTTATTATTTTAAATATATTTTTTTGTTTTTTGAATTTCATTTTAATTGTTTAAGTTGCATGGTTTCTTTCCAATAACTGTTTTCAAAATTTTTATTTACCCATTCAAACTGCATAGTTTAAATAAAAGGTGCATTTATTTTTGGTACAACTCCGATATACGTCCTAATTTCACCAAATGTGGTGATATGTCTTCTGCGCTGGTTTTTGGCGCGATTGCGTGTTGCATGGCAACCCTGTCGGCGTTAAAAAATTTTTCGCTGGAGCTCGTTGGTTTGCGTCATGCTCCGTGTCTGAGAAGATAGGGGGAAAAGATAAAATGTTGGAAGTTGTTTAATTGAAGTTTGGCAAAAGGAAATATCATTGTGGTCATCCTGTTGAGGGACAGTGGGTATTTGGAGGTGTGGAAAGAGGGTCTGGTAGATTATTTTCAGTGGCTGTGCATGATAGAAATAGGGTAATAGTATGAATTTTCTGGATAGTGTGTCTGGCTGTCATATAAATACGTGATTACGTGGCAGTATGTTAAAGGCGTTATGAAATTGGTATTTCTGCTGTTCGAAAAAGCATTAATTCATGGTAAGTGCATTTTATTTTATTCTTGTTCTTATTTTGTAGAATGTTACGTTCATTGTTTATTTAGTAGGAATTTCTGTCATTATTGTTGTTTTTTAAAATTATTTGAAATTTATTTTAGTTTTATTTTGTTGATTAGTGCGTAGTGTCTAGATTGTGCAATTGGTAGATGTTTTTTAAAGTTGAAACAGAATGCTGTGTACATGGTATTCTTTGCAATTTATTGTTGTTATGTTAATTTATTAAAGCGAGGTGTGTGTAGTTTGTAGATTCGTTTGTTGCCTAGATTTTGCAATTTGTAGCTGTTTTTTGAAGTTAAAACATATCGCTGTGTACATGGTATTTTTTGAAATTTATTGTTGTTATGTTAATTTATTAAAGCGAGGTGTGTGTAGTTCGTAGGTTCGTTTGTTGCCTAGATTGTGCCATTCGTAGATGTTTTTTGAAGTTAAAACATATTGCTGTGTACATGAATTCTAGTCAAATGTTTTGGGTTAGAAACTTTACGTTTTTGCTATCTAAATTTTTTGTTTTTGTTTCGGACTTGTAGCTTAAATTGTGTGTTCAAAACGTGGTTTTTGCATGCGCGAAAACGGCATTTTTGGAAACATTTTAGGCTTAAGGTTCGAAATGTAGACAAAAAATTTAGATAATAATAATGGCAGCATGGAGTTGGTGAGAAATTTGGCGACTTGAGGACGCATATCAGAGTACTTCCTTATTTATTTTTCAAATAGTTTTCTTTATAATTTTTTTTGGTCATACGAGGGCAATCCCAAAAAAAAGGTCTCCTATATTTTTAGATATACAAAGAACCGTTTAATTTCTATAATTGCTACATCACTTTAAAGATTGAAGAATGCTTTATTTTTCAACATAATCGCCATTTCGGTCGATGCATTTTTGTAGACGCTGTGGCAGTTTTATAATGCCCATGTCATACCAGCTTGCCGCCATGCCCTTCAGGAAGCGTTGAACCTTCTTCTGGAAACCTCAGGAACCAAAATGCAGAGAACATCTTTACGCATGAGTTCCTCAACTTTTGCGACTGTCTCGTCGGCAATTGATGGCCTCCCGCTCCTTTCTTCGTCATGAATTTCAGTACGACCGGCTGTAAACTCTCTACACTACTTGTGAACGTTTTTGACATCCATGCATGACTGTCCATACACTTCCGTCAATAGGCGGTGAATTTCATCCGGTTTAATGCCTTTTGCGTTCAAAAATTGAATAACTGCGTGCTTTTCGCACTTGGCGTACGTTATCGGAGGCTCCATTTCGAATGGCTGCCAAGCCAAGACTGAGCATCCGGCGAAGCGCCTGCGTGCTTATGTGGTAGCGGAGAAGGCACCACTCACAATAGTGTTGCCAACAACCGTATTAAAACTTTCTCTACGCCCCGAAAAAATAGGAGACCTTTTTTTTTGGGATTGCCCTTGTAATTATTATTTTAGGTAATTTTTAAATTTTTAGACTATTTTTATTTGTTTGTGTTGAAGTGTCTTTTTTTTCAGTAATTATTTAAAAATTTTCTATTTATTCATTCGAAATGAGTATTTTAATATATTTATTAATATAAATTTTCTAGAATTTTATTATTTATTTGAATTGCGTTTCTTTCGAAAGAATACTTTGTGACTCAGACTACGATCGTTTGAAAACTGCATATATGAAAAGAGAAAATACCATAAACACGTTAACACCTTTCAATGTCCTTTTCAGAAAGATATATAAATAAGAGATATATATCTGACATTTTAATTTAGAATGACTGTATACATTGCTTTGAACAGTTTGATAGTTGCCCATTCTTTTACACAATTTTATCATCCTATATTTAATTTCTTAAAATGTTATTGGTATTTTAGTCAAATATTTTATTTTGCTCTTTTTTTTTTTCAGGCACTCTGCAAGTATATTAAAAAGCATCCAACTTTTCAAAACATCTTGGTATTTCTAACATTAATTTGAAATAAATGTATCACCTTCCTTTCAAAAGGCCCCACATTGGGCCGGTGTGAATACTGTAGTTCGCTCCGGGGTTCGGATCCCGAGAACGGCTGGTTGCATGGCGTTTTCATGGTTTCCATGTGTAACGTGGATACAAGCTGGTTTCGCTTAGAAAGTTCTTCACAAAAGCATCCCTC